GCTGCCGTTTTTTAGACAAAACAGAACCGCAGACGGCATCGTCGGGAGTATTTATTTATTTCGCGCCGCCACCCGCGAGAAGGCGCGGCTCACAAGAGATTACGGTTCCGTTCCGGTTCAATTTCAAATGTTTGATATAGGTTCGAGTTTTGTTCCCATTCACTTAAAGATAACAACTTTGCTCCGTTTCTCGGTTCGGGCTCGGTTCGACATTATGGCTCAAATCTGGCTCCTAATTGCGTATGATTATAACAGCCGCTTTCGTGCATCTCGCGGAATCAGGAACGACACCTTGTCCGTCTACTACTATTCAGTTTTGGTTGCACAAACTAGACATTTTTAGGCCTTACCAAACAAACAACACGCTAACCATGTATCTGTGGAAGAGATACGGTCCGTTTGCGATAGTGGTTTTAAGTTTTGGCGTCTGTTGCGACTCAGAAGCCTTTGTACGCTTGATCGCTCGATCGATGTCTACATTGATAGTGCCACGAAGCGCTTTCTGCGATCGCCCTTCGGCTTAGCAAAAACGAGTGCTTTAAAGGCCGACTTACGGAACCATTTTCCGCAGGGTAGGAAAGTGCTCCCCAATGACCTTCGCTCCCTCCCCTCTCGCACTCCTTCCTCCTCCTCCCCTGAAAACGGCGGGTCCGGAAGCTAGTCTCCGTGGAAAGGAGAAGGGTGTTTCCTCCTTTCTGAATGGCAAGGAGGAAACCTCTTCTCCCGCGGAAAATGGTTTTGTAGATCGGCCTTTAAGGAAGCTTTTGCATAATCTTCATCCGCGTTCGATAACGTCAACAGATGTATGCTTCTTTTTTCTTTTTTTTCTTTTTCCAGTACACAATATGACTTTTAATGGCCATTGTTTCACTTTTAGGAATTAGAGCGATGGAATGGTTGAGTTTAGCCATTCCAGGAGTAGAATGGAACCAGTGTCTTTATTCTGAGGACTGAAGGAATGGAATTCTCGTAAACTCCGATTCCCCGGAACGGAACTGGAATGGAACGGGGCTGCCCATTCCGCAACACTGGTAGGCATCCCTCTTTTAATAACGACAGCGGATCGAGCAGACGGAGTCCGGTAAGGCAGCACGTTGGTGGCGTAAAGGCCCGTTCACACTCTTGCGACCGAGTACGACTGAGAGAGACGAGATCTCTTACAACTTCTTAAATGTTTCTAGAATGAGGGAACACACTGACATTGTGGCGCCATCTATGCGGTGACCCTAGAACTGCATTTCGCAAAAGCGAAGGTTTTGCGGGATTTCCGAGGTCAAATGTGCGTAATACCCATAGAAAGGCTCGTTTATGACATTGACAAAAGTTTTTCGAGCCAAAAAAAAAAAAGGATATTGCGCGAGAAATAAAAAAAAATATGCCGGACCGCCGAGTTTACACTGCTTCCCAATAGATGGCGCCAGTGTGTTCTCTGGTTTAAGAAGTTTTAAGGAACCCAGGTTTAAGAGGTCGCAAGCAGTCGCAAGAGTGTGAACGGGCCTTAACTCGAGCATGTGGTGGTGAGCACGACATTTTCACTCCGCCCTACAAAGACCACCGCGAGGGAATCTCACACACACCACGTGTTTGCGGCGAAACTTGTCGAACTAAGCAGTGCCGCCGAAAAACATTCCTCCAGTCTCAACCGGGCAGTGGGCACCTAGTCAACACGCTTGACCAAGCTAGGGCGGGGACGTTGAACGGTCGTCGGGGAAACAAAATGCGAATTCTCACATCATCACACAGAAACTACCGCGCGCACAAGGGCGACTACCGAAATAAAATTGCGACGAGAGACACGTCACCGGGATAGGTGAAGTACAGAAAAATCGCTGTAAAGAAGCCGGAAGTGCGCTCCGTGGTCGCCTACGTCACCATACGGGAGCCTACGTCACGATGCGGGCACCCGAAAACGTTGAAACAATTGAACTCTAAAAGCGTGATCCGGAACACGAAAGAAATGGACCGGTGAACTAAGAACCGGAAGAGAGATACTACACATGATCCTTCTAGCGCACGTATTTGAAATACGTGTCGGTTTGAATCGCACTTAACAGAAACGAAAGAAACAAGGCCCAGGGTAATTTATTTCGGGCAAATCAAATTTCGGGCAGCCTGCAGCTTATGGCAGATCCTTCGAGGAAGCGAAAACCACGAATATATCGAATTCGAACGGAGAGCCGCCCGCTTCCTTGATGGCCCACAGTTTTCTCGCCTGCTCTTTCGTGTCTTCCAGAAAAGGGGGCCTCTCTGCCTCCGTCACCAACGTCGTCATTGGGCTCATGGCCAGGTGAGACCCTGCAGAGAGAAAGGAGGACATGATCCTTACCTGTACTATGAATGCTCACGAGCCTATATCCTCTATACTACAAACTAGAGTCACTAACTCAGCTAAGCTTAGAGTTCTATTAGCTCTCCATATCCCCGATTTTTGTTGTGGGCGCTGCCATTTTGGCGCCCTTGCAAAGCGGGTGCCATTGGCGATAGTTACTAGTCGAAAATGCCACTCCCTGAACTTTGAATATGGCGTGAAGAAGCTCAAGCGATGTTATTTCGCTCTGTCGCCGACTCTTCTAACATTTCTGGAGGCCCGCAAAGCGCTTCCAGCGATTTCAGAAAAAGCTTCAGATAACTGGCCACCATGATTTTAAGCACCTATATGGCCGCAGCGTCGTTACCTTGAAGCTTTAGCTGCGGTGTACGTAATAGTGAGACGCGGTATATATGGCGAAAAACCAGTAGTCGCTATCCACTGTTCTTGCTTCGTTCTAAAAGGAAGGGGCGAATAGACGTTAATTGAAAATCGAGAGCCCTACAGCAGTATACATCTTAGTGTTCGGGTTTTCTGCTCGTGCGCCGTTGGTACCTGACCGTCAGGGCGATCTTCAAAGGTGACAATGGTCCTGGAGGTAATTGTGAAGACGATGACCAAAGATGCTGCGCCACAGGCTGGGGGTGTCAGATGAGAGCGGTGGCCTAAATCCTGAGCTCCCCCTGGGACACGTAGTCCAAGAAAGTTCTCAGAATCCTGGCCCTCCTCTCCGCTTTCCCCCGTCGCGCGGGCCCACTCCGCCATGGTCACTGGTCTGTCCGTTACTGGCAGACGCTCGATCACGGTCCGTCGAAGGGCTGCTAGAGCTTCGCACTCCCAGACTTTGTGGGAGAGCCTGGGGATGGCTCCGGAAGGTGTTGTCTGGGATCGGATCGTACGTTGGCTGCCCAGAGTTTCGCTACTTCCGTTGCCTACGGAGCCGACCCCTACTCATTTCTTCTCTCGGGTCGTGTTCTACTAGGTCGTTATGTCCGCCGGTGTCGCCGTCGTTGGATGTGGGTTGCCCCATGGGATGGTGGCTTAGAGGTGGGCCTGTTCTAGAGCTGCATAGCGCAGCCCGCTCCTCGCCGCCCCGTGGACAGTCTCGTTTCCTGGGACCCCCTTGATGCGCGGGAAAGCCACCATATCCAAAACCAGTCCATGGGACCCCCGTAACCGCATGGCCGACGCGTACAGCGCGTCGGTGCTGGGACTGCACGTCGTCCTGTGTTTTGTGACACCTTCAAGTGTCGACCTTGTAGATGATCACCTTGCAGTTTTGTGTTCCCGCTTGTGCGGCGGTGTGCATTCCCGGATGAACTGCCTTAGCCCCTATAGCGTTTCTGGCGTGTTTCCGCAGGCTGTAGAGCTTATCTGCCAGGCTTCTGGTGTGCTTTTCAATTGGAGTTCGCACCTGAAATGAAAGCTATAGTTGCCTTTGTCTCTGCTCACTTTTGGAACGCGTTCGAAGAGTGAGTAGAGACGACGGCAGATAGCTTTGAGTCACAGGGCTCAGTGCTCCGGCGTCAACGCGCGCTCTCGTCTGCTCCTCTCCTTCATTATTTATCCATGTAAGTTCTTTTTGAGTACATGGCTTGCAGGTGACGTCATCACGCCATGCTGGTGGTCATTGCCGGGAGAGACAAAATCCGTGGCGCGAAATGTATGTTGCAGAAGGCTGCGAGACCACCACAATGACATCCGTCGTCCTTGCAAGCCACGTATAAAGTCATGAAGGCCTCGATTTCGCGATGTGCCTTACACAGGAAACTTACGGGTGAGGCTTTCGAGATCTGGGAAGTCAAACTCCACGTGAACCACGTCGCACGCCGACGGCGTAAGATTAGCCGTCATCAGCAGATCCTTCATGTACGATTCCAGGGCTTCAGTACCTTTCAGGTCGTGGCTCGGAGGAACGAAGTCTTGGCAAATCTGAAAGAAAAGCACACGTGAATGAGCGGTTTCGGAGACAGTTAGGAACGTACTCGGACGAAAATGTGAATGGCTGTCATTTCTGAGTTCACTTGAAATTTCCTCGCGCTCTGTTCGAATGTTTTAATACACAGACACGGCTGTAGGGCACACACGGTTATATGCAGAGCTCAAGTTCACCTGCTTCTTGCACAGGGGCTGCGATGACGTCAGAACGCCAAGCTCTGATTGGCTGATTGAACATAAGTAGTGGGTAGACCTCAAGGCATCTAGCATTGAGGTCTACCCACTATCCTTCCCATCAAAGCCAATCAGAACTCGATACCGTTATGACGTGAGCGCAACTCTCTCTGACGTCACCGCGACTTGCTCTCTGCATAGGAATCACGTTGAGGGCCAACACACATCCTGAGAAGGAGGCAGTGAAGAATGTTTTTTCTCGGGCGTCTGTTTTGGCCTTCTCTGGATGTGTGAATTAACATAGCATGGGTAGAACGTCTACAAAACGTTTATATACCAAATAAAGCATCATTAAAATATTCATAAAGCACACATTGTTTTGGTTTCGTGTGATAGAACGTATGTTCTAAAAAGTTCCCCGGCACTGTTGGAACGTTTATTTTTCTTTTGCAAAAGAGCCGTCGTAGAACTTTTATGCGTTTATAACCTCGGCGTGCTGGTGTCGATGGCACGAAGTCCCAATATTTGTGGGGAGTAATTTTTTATATATCTACAAAGTTTAAATAAAGTAAATTTTTGACTATGATTTGAACAAGTCCAAGAGACTTTCATAGTCTTCACCAGCCTTGAACTCTTCGATTTCTGCTCCACTCGCCTCTTTCAAGAACATGTTTAATTTTTTGTTGGAAGCCGATCCAGCAAGTTTATTTTTAGCTCTCGGTGTCAAGTTTTATTCCACGAAATGCGACGCGTAAAATAACATGCAGTTAGAGCGCTCCAGAGTGAGGCAGCAAGATATGTGTAGTTGCATCAATAACTAAGTGTATCAATAGTGTGGGTGTTTTGTTATAATTTACTTATTTATTTTTGGGGTATGTAGGGTCAGTTCTGCGGGCACACATGTTGCATGGACCCCCGCCTTCCCGCAGAGCTCGCACGCCCTCCATACTCCTCTTCTTTTTAGGTGCAATAAAGTATGAAGTATGAAGTAACGCGGGCTTAGACGCTTTTCAAAGGTTCCTCGAGCAATATTGGCGGTCGCCATTTCTTTGGCACGAGGCGTGTGATTGGATCCCGAGTCCTCGCCGAACGCTGACGTAGCACTCGTGTCCAATGAATGACCAGGTAAGTACCCACACAATAACGTGCTTGGATAATTGGCGCCGCAGACGATAGATGGCGCGCAAATTTTTTTTCCTTTTTTTTTTTTAGATGGGTTATGCTTAATTGTTTTCGGATTTATTTACCGAACAATTTCGAAAGCATCATATCAAGGTTTCTTTTTTTGTGTGTGTGTGTGTGTGTGTGTGTGTGTGTGTGTGTGTGTGTGTGTGTGTGTGTGTGTGTGTGTGTGTGTGTGTGTGTGTGTGTGTGTGTGTGTGTGTGTGTGTGTGTGTGTGTGTGTGTGTGTGTGTGTGTGTGTGTGTGTGTGTGTGTGTGTGTGTGTGTGTGTGTGTGTGTGTGTGTGTGTGTGTGTGTGTGTGTGTGTGTGTGTGTGTGTGTGTGTGTGTGTGTGTGTGTGTGTGTGTGTGTGTGTGTGTGTGTGTGTGTGTGTGTGTGTGTGTGTGTGTGTGTGTGTGTGTGTGTGTGTGTGTGTGTGTGTGTGTGTGTGTGTGTGTGTGTGTGTGTGTGTGTGTGTGTGTGTGTGTGTGTGTGTGTGTGTGTGTGTGTGTGTGTGTGTGTGTGTGTGTGTGTGTGTGTGTGTGTGTGTGTGTGTGTGTGTGTGTGTGTGTGTGTGTGTGTGTGTGTGTGTGTGTGTGTGTGTGTGTGTGTGTGTGTGTGTGTGTGTGTGTGTGTGTGTGTGTGTGTGTGTGTGTGTGTGTGTGTGTGTGTGTGTGTTTTTCTCGGATATTAGGTCGGTTCCTTTCAGTGCCTATTTTGTTAGCCAACTGTATGTAGCCTTTGCGGGCTATAGTTCTCGTAGAGAAACAATTGGCCGATTTTGAGGCCCTTAACTTTTACAATGCCACGAGGTGCGCGCCCCAAAAGGGAGTCGTCGAAACCAACTCCTCACCTGCGCGTACTTCGACCAACACGTCTTCAAAGCCAGCTCCTGGCGACATCGCATCAGAGGCGTGGTCGCGACGAAGAGGAGCAGACAACTGCCGCCAGGTTTCATCAGCAGCGCGATGTTCTTGAGCGCCTTCGCTTGGTCCTTTACCCAGTTCAGACAGAAGAAAGAGAAGACGTGATCGAAGCGACCGTAGCGAGCCACAAAGCCGGACACGTCGTCTTCGGCGGCGCCGAGGACGTCGTAGGCAATCTTGGGATGGGCGAAGTGACTCCTCGCGTACTCGACCATGTCCTTGGAGACATCGACGGCGACGATCCTTCGGCACGGAAGACAGCGGGGAAGCAGGCACTCGCGCGTAAAGTCGCCCGTGCCACACCCCAGATCGAGATACTGTTCTTCTCCCTGGGCGTCCCGTTTCAAGGACTTCTGGAAGCGCTCCAGCGCTAAGAGGTTCTGCCGCCATTGCCAGCGGTTCGAGGCCACGTAAAGCTCCGGCTTGAGTGTGGTCAGGGAGGCCTCAGTGTTCGTCTGCATCGTGCTCGGATTCCAAAAAAGTGCTGCTGAGTCAGAACGTTTCTATGTGTTATAGCGGAGCAAGGGAAATCCGTTCCTTTGCAGAAAACGCAGCTGCTCCTTTTTTTTTTTCTTTTTCATAAAAAAAGTAGATGTAGGGCCAGCAGAACGTCGCTGTGCAGTGCCCCTAGCGAAAAGCACGCTAAACAAAACGCAGTTTAAACATTTTTTCCATTTTTTATCACTGTGGGGTGGCACATTTAATAACAGTTCGCTCGACGATGCACAAAAAACAAAAAGTTCAGACTATTACTATAGTATACACGTACTCAGTCCCGCGTTTGCTGCGTGAATTTGTTTGCCCTCTTTTTGCCATCGAGCTACAGAATGTCAGGATATACTGTCAATCTGTATAAACTCCCACTTGTTGGTAGACCTGGCTTGGCGTAAACCAAGACTCTACTGTAATAATAATAATAATAATAATAATAATAATAATAATAATCTTTATTTCCATTTAAAGAAATGGTGGAGCGAAAGGGAAAAAGCTTCAACAAGAAGCTTGACTGGCCCTCAGCCCCATCGGCAGCCAGTGAACAAACAGTTTTCGTGCAATAAAAAAAACAAAAAAACATACAGAAAATTATACATTATCAAATGAGATAACAGAAACAAGACACAGAACACTTAAATATGTAAAAATATATTACGCAACTCTTTAGTAGATATGGTTTCTCTATTTCCATTTTCCTTTTCAAAGTTGTTTAGAAGTTTTGGAATTAAACACCGAAGCATTTGCTGCCCATAATTTGACCTGCATGTGGGAACCTTCCAATATTCATTATGGCGGGTCAAGTAAACCGTAGTATTTTTTTCTAATCTAACTATCTCGTTTAAAAGAACACTTTCCTTTTTAATTTCATTCTTAATGGTGAGTAAAAGTCTATAATCAGATAGCTTATGAATTTTTAATATTTGCAGATTTCTAAACATATTCTCAGTGTGAGAGTCATAAGGCGCGTTGAAAATGGCTCTTAACTTTTTTTCTTTTTTTTTAAGCAGATAAATTTTCTTTAGGTTGGATGCCGTTGTTGTGCCCCAGACAAGGTTACAATAACTGAGGAGTGAGTAAAACAAAGCATTGTACATAATTAATTTCACGCGAACTGGTAGAAGTTGGCTGTGGCGATACGTTAAACCAACAACACGTGGCAATTTGGAAATCAAATAATTTACACGGCTATCCCATGACATATTTTCAGAAAAGAAGACACCTAGTGTTTTAAAATTTTCCACGATCTCTATTGGACTTGAGCTAAATACTATAGGCCTTGGCATAAAAAATTTGTTTATTTTTTGTACGAAAGAAAATAGCCTTCGTCTTTGCAGTGTTAATACTTAGTCCATTTTCCTTTGCCCACGCCGCCAACCTTGACAAAGTAAAATTAACATCATCCGCAATTTCATCACTATTTAAAGAGGAAATAAAAATACTAGTGTCGTCTGCATAAATTACAAATTTAGCAACAGGGTCTCTATTCACAATATCGTTTATATACAGGTTAAAAAGAAGGGGCCCTAAAATACTTCCCTGTGGGACCCCTGAAATAATACGCTTTCTATCGGAGGAATGACCACTAATGTTAATATATTGGAAGCGGTGACTCAAGTATGAATTGAGAAGTGCTAACGGCAACCCTCGAATACCATAGTAATTTAGTTTGCAAAGCAGAATGTTATGATCCACGAAGTCTAAGGCTTTTGTAAAATCTACGAACACGCCAACAACCGTTCTTTTTTCTTCAAAATTTTGTAATATATATTCTTTTTGGGACAAGAGGGCTGATTCCGTGGAACGATTTTTTCTGAAACCAAACTGCGAAGATGAGAGTAAATCGTGCTTATTCGCGAATTGTACGAGACGGGACTGTATTACTTTTTCGAGGCCTTTAGAGAATAAGGGAAGAATTGAAATCGGTCGATAATTGCTGAAATTATTTTTATCTCCTTTCTTGTGAAGGACAGATACCTTCGCCAGTTGCATCGCCGTAGGAAATACTCCAGACGAAAAACAAAGATTAAAAATATGGGTTACGCACGGCACTAATATATCAATAACGAACTTTAGTGGGCGTATTTGAAGATCATCGCAGTCGCAGCTAGAGCTGTTTTTGAATTGCATAAATGTAAAAAATACCTCGGCATCTGTCACGGGTTCAAGAAACATGGAATGACTATTTCTGACTTCTATGTATCTGCAAGGATCAGTATTAACGTTTGTTGTAGATAAATTCGCAAAATATTCGCTGAAAGCATTCGCTAAGGAAAAGCCACTTAGGTGCACATCGTTCCGGTTAATATTATCAACTGGCTGATGGCCTGAACCAAGGTTTAAAACTGAATTTAATTTTTTCCAAACCAAGTCCGTACGACCATTTGTATACCTAAACACTTTATCGTGATACTCAGCTTTAGCTGTACGCAATAATTTTGTTAGTTGGTTGCGATATATTTTAAAGGACCGTAGACTTTGCGGGTCTCTAGATTTAACGAATGATTGGTACATCGCGTTCTTTGTTTTAATTTTTTCAAGTAAATCAGGTGTTATCCACAGTTTCCTGATTTTTTTACTTGCCTTAAACATTTTGTACGGAAAATGACGACTATAAATGCTTTTAAATAGTTTTAGGAAATGTCCATAGACTTCGTCTACATCTTCTGAACCAAACATATCACACCAATTAGTATCTGCAATTTCTTGTCTGAAGGCATTCAACCTTCCGGTGGTTATATGTTGAAACGGGTATGATACATTATTTCTATTTTGTTTAGGGTTCCTAGTTTTCAAACACATGAATATTGGAAGGTGATCACTTAAATGGTAGCTTATAACTCCGGATTTTATATTTTCACTATCGGCGTTACTAATAAAAAGATCAATTAATGTTTCAGAGCTTACAGTAACTCTAGTTGGAATATTTATTGTGTTCATACACCCATTGGTTTCTGTGACCATATTCATTTCTCTCTTCAATGCAGTATCTTTCAGCATGTCAATATTAAAATCCCCACCGCAAATTACGGTATAGAGGTGTGAACTCTGTGGGTGGTTCCATTTGAATTCGACCAAACATAGGGGGGGGGGGGGGGTCTTTAGATGGGTTTGAATTAAATTTAGGTGATAGCTGAAGCCCTAGGAAAAACAAAACTGCGTTTAAAAAAGATGCTCAAAAGATTTATAAAAAAATTCTAAAACTCGATTTATTTTTTTTATTTTTTTATTTTTTATAAATTTACCCGTTTACGAATTGTCCATCTTTAAGACCGGAGAGAAGCGAAAAGAATGGGGAGTTTCCTTTTTAGATTGCTTTAATTTCTTATTTTTTAAAAATATTTAAGAACTGTTTTTAGAAAAATAAACCATATTTTGCTTTTGTGGTTATTTTCGTAGAAAATCACAATCTCGCTACCCCGAGCAATCATCTAAATTTCAAACTGGCGTAGAAACAACCGACTATAACGATGACATGAGACAACCATCAGTGTGTAGCTACATAAGCTATCTGAAGGTATATTGTTCGTCCATGTGAATTGTATGACACCCTAAGAGCCTGTAGCATTTATTTAATTGAGAAAAAAAAACTTCTCAACAAAAAAAGAAAATAATAATAATTTTCTGACAACTTTTTTTTTTTTTTTTTGCTCATTCGAATAGAATACATGTTGCAGGCGCTCACAATATTACTTCTTGTTTTGACGATATTAGGCTTAGGTGGACGTCGGCTCATTGAAAAATTTAGTTTTTCTCAGTTATCTTATGATTGAAGTAACATCGTGTTCTCAAACTTTCGCATTCTATCCCAACTGCTAGCGTCACATTCTCACAAAGTTAGAGCTGCCTGTGGGCCGAAAAACACGGTTCTCTTTTCTCAGAAACGCCCTGCATTACTTGTTGCGTGCAAATTGTGTAAATCTAGAGAAATCATGAATTATATATAAATAGTTACGTCAAATACAAGTTAATTGAACTAAAACATGAGCAAACAACTCGAAATTCGCATAGGGCATCCTCCCACATCCACACGCGTTTAAAATTCAAGCATGCAACTTTTTTTTTTACTGGACAGTATCTTTCGTTCATAGTGTTCTTCTCGTCAAGTGCGAATTTCATTATTTATACACATGAATCAAGTTCTCACTAGACTGCAAGACATCCACGCAACGCGACATTCTACTCTGCTTTCGATACATGACTGTAATATGTGCGATGTTGGTTGTCCATAGAAGCCGCCTTTCCATATTACGTGCGAAACAAATCTTTACGTTCAAATGGGCGGAAGTAACCGGCGTCGACTGAGACGCCAAAGTCTTTCTTCGGTCTTGTTTTACTCGTATGTGACTGAAGACAGGGAATAAGGGTATCCTACATAACCGACGTAGACGCTTTGAAACTCTCTCGCCACTGCTCGGAGCATTGCAGAAAGTGTAACCGGCTTGCCTGGCATAAAATTTACTTTAATAAACCTAAAACTCCGCTTTTTTTTTTTTTAAATTTGGAGTGCACGGTGCGAATTTATTAAATTACTATACGGATCTGCTGGGCGGTGTGTGGATGATCTCTGACGGTAGTCTCCTCTTCGTCTGCCCGGGCATGATTTGTGTATAGATGGCCAAATTCAGTTGATCTGACTCCAGGAAAGCAAGGGCTTTAATGCGCCGAGTCGCAGCCGCACGCGTTTGATTGACGGGATTGGGGGCCGTGAGACCGAAGAAGACGCTTGTTGTTCACCGGCAGCAACAACGTTTGCCCTGTCATTCAAATCTCGCTCTCATGTTATTCAAATCTCGTAACGTTGCGTGTCAAATTGCGGCGCGACGTGCCGTCACGTCACGCGACCCCCGTCTCGTGACGTTATAGGTCACGCGACTTCACGTCATCCTCACACTACGACTCCACACCGTGGCGTGACGGGACAGCGTGACGTCACGTCGATCAGATAACACGAATATATCGCTAATAC